TTACACTGCATCTACTGGATCCACGACATCTGCAGCAGAGTCGAGGTTAAAGAGAAGCTAAACTGGGGTTCTAGCAGCTATTTGTTATAAGGATGACTACAAAAGCGTTCAACCTTGGCGCATTACAAGCAAACCGCCAATCGAACAGGAAAGAGCCTCGGAATCGATTTGTCGTCGCTTGAAACTAAATTGTGACCAGTGGTACCATGAAGCATTCCTCTTTTTCGCAAATCTAAGGATAGTACGATCAGCTATATAACGTGGAATATGCAAATAACCTGTCATCAAACTCCTATCGATCCACAGCAAGGAACCAATGGGCAGGCAGAAGAGCCTTAATTAGTTGTTTGCGTCGAAGTGCCGAACATCGTGAGAGGTTATCATTTATTCAGGAGATGCGGAGGGACGCAGACACGGACAATCAGAAAGATGCATCATGACACCGGGACTCAACCCATCGATTTAACGGGACCCATCACGAATAGTTGATCAGCGGAATTGATCTCCGCATAATCAACCACTTTATGTAGAACGCAAATTTATCATAGAGGAAAACAATAATGCTTTTCCGCTAAAGAATCGTATCAGAAAATATCACAGTGTAGCAACGGGCACGATTATGAGCAACGGTGCGTAAATACTCAAACAGCAGAAACGATGCGCAGTGCACAGCTTGGTCAGCAACATGCCGAAAGAATTCAGTGTCGAGGCGTGACAACTATGCAAGCGTGCCGATCGCTCTACGCCTAGTCAGCCTGACACTCCATCGCCTGCAGCCTAGAACCGTTTCGGCTATGGCAGCAGCAACAGCATCCATTACCCATTCATTACCACTGGTCAGGGCGCGATAGCTTGCATCGCCTATAATGGTGGGCTACTTGCAATCCGTGTACTGTGGGACAAAAGTATGTTCGCGCTCATCAATCTGTTCCGTTGTTAGTCGCCAAAATTCCCCGGGTCATGCGCTTTCGATACCGAAAGACCGAGCGTTTAACCTTCCAAGAAGGTTCTTTATTTCAACGCACGAACGTACTGACTGCATCCATCTTGCAAACAATCTCGCTGACGAAAAGAGCCTTGAAGTGTCTGCTTACGCGCATGAGATTAAAGTGGATCCAAATTGCAGTTATGGGTCTGATATCGCCCGGGCCATCCGAAACTTCGTTCAGACGCGTCCTCTTGTCGACAAATTCTGTTTGCATATGACTCTAGCCCCGAGCTCGTAGCTATAATCGCTGGTATCGACCAGCTCCTCGAGATTGTAAATAATCGGACGCCATGGGTTGTTACAGACGACATGGTTGCCATTAAAGAACTGTCTTGGTTAGCATGTTTCTGGTAGGGTGAAATCTATACAGGTAGGCAAACTTCTCGGCATAGTCAATTGTCCTACCGTTGCGCCTAAATCGACAGAAAACTCGAATATCGATTGGCGGTTACGCCTATGATACGGGCGTTTCGCACGATCAACACTGACAAATCAACAATTAAGCGGACGTTATTCAGATCGTAGACAACGTCCTGACATTTGTGCGATAATGTCGTCGGTGGCCAGCGTCTAGCGACCCTGCGTGTGTGATTTAAGAGACCGTTTATTGGGTGTACCTAACGATAAGCGGCAATCTAACTAATAGCCACTCGTTTCCTGCTCTGTGTTCTTGGCCGATGACGGACCGTTACGAGTCCGAACCAAACCCACAAGTGGACCACGGGGTGTGGCCACGACGAAATAAAGCGATTTGTACTGTCGGCTAATACACGTATGGCTTAACTTCCCACCCTGCACCACCACTGTACAGATGTATATTTCGGAGTCAACGTCATTTTAGGCATCGCTCACCCTCGAAGGCCCACATCCTATTCTTCACCTGCGCAAGCAGTCAACCAGTTCACCTCAAATTTGCTCCTGAAATCCCGACGCCTGACATGCAGTTCACGCTATGGTGTTCCTCGAAATGAGTACGCGCCCGGACTACTAGTCTAAGAAGCACCGACTAAACTCGAGCCGAGAGAGCTTCTTCCTTTCATAAACTTCGAAACGAGATTATATGCTCGAACTACCACCGAGACGACATAATAGCAGTAGTTCCAACTATTTTTATTTGATAATAATAGAGTCATATGGAGCACCGTCAAATGACGCGCTCTAGGGTGAACTTCGTAAAATTACAAACTATCGCTATCGCGTATCATGATGTAGTCTGAGAAAAGTCACATGTAGGTGTTGTTATGGCTGTTCTAATTAACTTAAATGCAGCCACAAACCTGTTTCTATTCTACTACATATCGTCTATATGATACCAGTAACTTTAGAGGGAAGAATCTCTTCTCCTGTTTTGTTGAACTAAAAATATTGATTATTTGTATTTTTGAAATGGGCGCGCTTTAGAATTCATAATAATACAAGTAGTAACAATAACTTCACTGTCTCATCCAACTCAATTTAGTAATCCATTATTCGTATTGAAATTCTAGCTATTTGACCGGAAGCTATATTCCGCTAGCAATCAAACGCAGATTTTTACGAGGATCGATTTGGGAAAGATTTGACGCGTTTTTAGCTTTAGCCAATAATGTAGATATAGTTATCCAATCATTCGTAAACAATGGATGGCCATTTGAATTACTCCGACCTCCGGCTTTAGTTTTTACTGTGAAATTGTGCTCAGGGATAACAGAAGCTATCTTATGCTGTAAGCGTGTGTTTTATTCCACATTTAAAAACATCTTTATTCGTCATATAAAGTAATATAACATTTGTCTGTGTCGCCGTCAATAGCTACTACTCCGTTGAACTGAGAGAAAATATTGTCCGATGTTAGGTCCAAGCTAATAAGCTACTTAAAATGTGAAATAGCTGATACTAATCTCGAGTTCTCTTATACGATCTATAGGACCTCAACTCGTTGACCGGATTGCCAGTGTGATGTTCTCTTGTCCTTCATGTACAGTCGACATCACAACACTATTGTGCATAGGGTCGGCAAAAACAACCTTCATCGAATGACGAACAGATATATCTGCGGCGGGCTAATTTGAAACCATCGGCATGGTCCGTTTAGGCATTAGCATTCATACACAGATGAAAACATCTTGAACTTTACATCCAGTCCCGCTGTTAGGCAGTACTTCAAATGGCTGGGTTCTGCCAGTACGTAACAAACTGTGTGTCCACGTTCAGATCCGGACCTTATTTTCAGATCAGCTGGCTGTCAAATGTTTTGTACAAAAAAGTATATAGCGGTAGAAGTTTTAGTTCACCGTTAACTATAGAGCTATATTCTCAAGCTACTAGATCTTAGATTGAAGTATCTTTTTATCTAGATGATTTCACTCTTCCTCCCCACAACAGGAGGAAGTATCAAATAATTCAGTAACCTAACATGAAATGTAAGCAAATTATTACTATTAATAAAGGCCAGCCAAATTTTAGTTATGTTAACAAAGTCAAGAGTATAAGTCACTATTATCACAAAAATTATTATTATTATTAAGGAACAGTCGCATTATAACCTTTTACCCCCTTGAGGAATAGATTGTTTCTTAAAGTTCGTTTAAATGTAAGTGTGAAGTATGAGGCTGTCTTGGCTACGGGATCCCAAGCCTATTTATACTAAAAAGCCTCTAGCTGCTCTGATACCGAAGACGCTTGTCTGGGCTCGAGTTTGAACGACAAAAGAACTGGTCTTTATGAAAAAGGCCTATAAATATGTTTAGCTGACCGGCAGTATCGTCGTTTGGTTCCGCCCAACTTAGTAGCTTCATTTAATTGTTATTACATAGAAAAAAAAAATGTTTGCATGTTGTTTTTAATAAAATAAATCTCATATATTGATATTAAGCTACATTTCTATAGAGGTTTGCCGACTTTATTTGTTTCATTATCAGTTCGTTTGATCGAACGATTACTTGTGGCTGTACAAGTGTCATTATCTTTGGCTTTGGACGACCAATATGTCTTAAGTCCTGCTAATACTAGCAAAACACTTACCCGATATATGCGCCATCCTAGCTCTAATCGCCATAACCAGTTAGTCCGGCCGACAAACTCTCGGTTCTTAATATACATCTCTTTGGGAGTGTCGTCATATTAACAATGGGCATGCAGTGATGGCTGGTTGAAATTTCAGCCACAATAAACGGCTACATGCTTCGGTGTATCGGCTTCCCGTTCATATTTTGATAAGTTACCAGCGCGGCTCCGTTTGGCCATTAATCTACCGATGGGGAAAGCCGACATTAGATAATATTCTTCTAAGATGTTGGCGTTCACGACGTCATACTTCCCTAGTTTTTAGAACTTACCACCAGCGACCACAGGAGGCCTTCCGCAATACTCCCGCTTAGTACATGAGCTTTGCTCTGTATAACAACAAACGCTAGGACAGTAAGTTCATGTATTGCTGTCTTTGCCCTCGGCTCGGCACGAACCAAATATCCCTTCTCTATTATTTTGGAATTTTTCCTATTTTTGTAATTTTCATGTTACTGCCACCATTAAGCGAGAAAGAGATACGTAGAATTTTTTTTTCTCTATTGAACTCCTCTCCATAGTCACGTTCTACTGTGTTGCAGAAAGCCTCCAACTTTGCCATTTTGGGAAAATCGTCGTCAAAAGATGATACCTGTCAGACCCTCAGTTTCAGACTAGAGGTATTGCTTGCGGGACGGCTTTGACAACATGCCATACAGCGGGAAACAGTTGAAGCTAGCAGCTCAACATTTAACTGCAGAATAACTAGCGGCGCCGGCGGCGGCGGTGGCGACGACGACGACAATAATAATAATAATAATAATAATAATAACAACAGCAACAACAACAACAACAACAACAACAACAACAACAACAACAACAACAACAACAACAACAACAACAACAACAACAACAACAACAACAACAACAACAACAACAACAACAACAACAACAACAACAACAACAAGCAAACGAGGGCTCCGTAGTTCACATCAGAAATGGCAGTAACAGAGTATCATCCGCCAGGCATGCAAGCGACGCCCAGCGACGAAGCGGCTAAACTAACTTGTGCGTGCGAACGGCATCCCTTGCGCGTGCGCCCTTACGGCAATAGTGTGTTTGGAGACGGCGAAGGTACTAGCAGCGGCCTGAGTCCCCGATTTCGTCTCAACGGGCGCGGCCGGCTCTACCCCATATAGCCCTCTCGTGTCGACGATGAACCGTCCCTCAATAGTTCTATCGGAGGTGGAATCCAGCAGCGTGCGTACGATGACAGTCGGTCCACCGTTCATCCATTGGATTCTGGTGGAAGAAAGCTAGTGCCAGTGAAGCAAGCAGCAGTCCGACGAACGTCTCAGGCCGACGCAGCCAATCGGCGATTGGCCCCTGTTTGTTGGGGTGGAGGGCGGAGCGTCGCTCTCGGCGAAGTCCCGCCCTCCAGGAGCACAGCCAGTCATGGGTATCGGTCGACCTCAGGCGTCGACAAAGACCAAGACAACGACGGCTGCATAGTGGAACATAGGGTGAGAGACAATAATGCTTGTTTAGCCCAAGTATTGTTTGTGAAGTGTTCAAACAGAATAGACCTGAGTATGCTGATGTTGCTGGTGCTGCCACCGCCGGATTCGCTCTATCCTTTCCCTCTTCTTTCTACCCTGTGTGGGTTCTTATAATACATAGGCCCAGAGAGCGTCGACTACCGAATTAATAACGAGCCAACCTGCGGTGGTTCTAGGTTTCTTCTACCCAGAAAACACAGCGTATAGACATTTACTGTACGCCGATCACAACTGTGCGTGTCTGGCACCGCGAAAAATCACCGTTGCAGCGGCCGTCATTGCCGCGAGTCCTCACACTCCTGTCACCGGTGGCCGCAGCGGCAGCCGCAGCGGCAGCAGCAGCAGCAGAAGAAAACGACAACGAGACTAGGGTATCTTGAGAACCTATTCATACTCTGCTGTCCTCCGTCACCCATCTGAATCATCACTAGCGTTCGTCAGTGACATTGGCGAATGCCCCGCGACAGCCGTGTGGAACACAAGTAGCGTGAACGTAACGTAGTAGCTTAGACTCAACAGGAAAAATATCGTGGTGGCCTACCGCGGTGGCAGAAGTCCTACGGCGCCTCGATGGATGATGCTGCTCAACGTGTCTATGAATGAGTAAGTGCCACGACGCTCGGTGAAGTCGACCGTTCCGTCGTGTACTCGACGGCAGTCGGAATTCGTTGCCGTAGTAGGCTTGTGATGCAGTTCAATGAGGGAATATTACTAATACACGCTCTACTGTTACTTCAGCATTGATTATGTTAAGTTAAATCAGGTGGCCATAACACAACCCCATTGAAGCTAGAGACTTTACATCTGCTCAAAAACGTGTATATATATATATATATATATATATATATATAAAAAATCGTATTAATTTCCCCGGTAGTTCGACATGTATGTTGTGCACCACTGCGAAATAGTCGAACGTGCTGGCGGAACCAGGAAGAAAGCATCTTGCAGTAGCTATAACATCATCAACGTCATAGCCAGCCTTCTTCTTAGTGCAACTGCCCCTACCGCAGTTGACAATAAACATGTACTGAATGAAAATATGATCTTTAATTAGCGCCAGATCTACTCGCGACTGTCACGTCAGCGGCGTCATGTACGCTACGTCAGCTCTGCCTCACCCGCTTCGTTGAGCGTCTGCAAGCGATCATCGTGATTACGTTCTACTTTCGTCATACTGGAATATAATTGTCAGCGCGTTAGACACAGCCGGCAAAGCGTACCGGAGCCGAGAGCCAACACTCGTCCGGAATCAGCTGTACTCATCGACTACACGTAACAAGCAAAAATACAACAAGGACACTTGCAGTGTATGCCTGTGTATACAGGCAAAAAAATGACAGTTGATAATACCTAGCACCGAGTCCATTTCTTACTGTCATTGATGGTGAAATTAAAGGATAGCTGGCAGTTACAATTGATTTCTACATATTATAGTTACCGGGTGAACAGTTAACGGCGAAGTTCCCTCCTACCTAATTAAGTTGAATCTCGTTCAAAATCATTTACTGATTCTGTCTGATCTCAAGCTGTCATCAATTGTCAACAGAGTGGTTCCGCTCTTATCGTGCTTTCGAGGTCGTTGCTGTGCTCGGTTACAATAACTGGGGCAAAATGTTTTGTCGGCAATCCGTGACACATGTGTGGGTGTTATTGACGTTGGTCAGCCAGGCCATGGCCTGCGCTCCGGGTCGATCCGGCTACCAGCGCCGGGTACCCAGAAGACTCACCCCGCTCGTGGTCAAGCAATACGTCCCAAACACAGCGGAACAGAACGAGATCGCAGCTGGCCGCGCAAAAGGTGCGATTTCACGGACATCTATGGCGTTCCGCAAACTGGTGCCAAACTACAATACTGATATTCGCTTTCTGGACGACGAAGGAACGGGTGCAGACAGGATTATGACTCAGGTAAATTGCCCAAACACCTAATTTTTCGAAATAACGATCCACCTGTTCCAGGTCAAATCATCCTAAATACAGTAGCTAATAAGAAAGGATGCGTGATACGTTTCTATGAACGAAGTCCAATCTCAACTAAGCAATCGAACGTTGCCCCATCGACATCTCGTACCTGTAACTCTTAACTTGATAAGTCTATAGGTCGAATTTAAGCGGATCAATTACCCACTCTTATATAAATATATATACTTATATATATTCGTCGTTTCCGTTTTCTCGATACTTCAATGTAACTACCCATAGTACCACTCAGGGTGGTTTGTCAAAATCGTAGATACAGACTAAATCCTATTTATAATAGAAAAATATCTATTTACACTTCCCGCAATAATTAGAAAACAGATCATTACAGCACAAGAAATTGACGATGATTTTTGTAGAGATGACGTTTCTAGTTCAAAGATAAATTTCGGCATCTACGCTAACACAAGAAGAACTATAGATCTCGTTTTTTATACTACTAGTTAAGGTCCAAAGGTTACAAACGTAGATGGGGTCACGAAGGTCCACGATGACATTGCTACGAAACAGCGATGCTATGAAGAAATAATCAGATTAATATACTGAATTTTTTCGCGATCGATGAACATTATCTAATATATTTCTATGTCAGTTATCTGTTTGCGTGGATGCCCGTCGTAGAGAAAAACTGCTGTAGTTTTAAGATTAGATAGATAAATAGCCCCATAGCAAAACATCTGAATACATGTAACCTCTATCATTAAACGTCCTACAGTAAAGAAAAATGATCGCGTCAACGTACCCCATCAGATCAGACATTCAAGCAGATATTGCTAGCGGCAAAGCAGTACAGGCTGAAAATATATCACCTGAAAACGTACACACGAAATGGACCGAGCTTCTAACACTTACTCAACGGCTTGTATTACTTCCCGAACGCACCGGTGAGCTAGAAGATGTAAAAAATGATCGGTAAATGTTCCCCGTTCGCAAAACGGCTACAATATACAACATATTTTTCAAACTTAGAGAAACTCTAACACCAGACAAAAAAAAAACTTAATGAGGAGAAGCAGGCCTATCCAATGATAATTATTGAGCTTGAGGCATCATTTTGATAGATTGATAAAGTTGTGCCACAATAGCCATCCATATTAATCGATCACAACGTGCCTAGTACACCCACGAACCCTTCTTTGCATTCTGGAGCAACTATTTGCCTTCTGCTGCTCCTGTCATCACAGAGCAATCTCACATTATTATTATTATTATTACTACTAACCCCCTGGGGAGCAAGGGGCTTCTCGCTAGGGAGCATACCGATTGTTTACTAAGAGCAGATAATAAGCCAATGAATCGCGCGGTCATCGTGTCCTACCTGTTCGCACCATTTTCTTAGTGGTGTAGTCGTATCTAAATCAGTAGACGAGTAGAAGAGAACAGAAAATAGGTAGTAATGGGGGTTGTATGGGGTGTGCGAACTAGAGGAGGTGCCTACATTCGCTTACTCTTAGTGTTGAATCTGGTTAGAAGCGAAGTTCAGTTGTATGGCTGGCAATACAGCTATTAGCAGTAGTAGTCCTCGGCGGTTTCTCTGGGCCTGTTTTGATTATTCCGCTCTTCGTGTCCTGTTGGCTATGCGAATCTGCTCAATGGTATTGCAATTTAGGTCTTTGTTTGCCGAGATCAGCTCATTGTCTTGCTCTTCCGTTCTTCGTCCTTCTTTCTATATCGTTTGAACGCTGCAGGGTGCTCACGAGTTAGCCTTTCTAACGTCTGTAATGGGCTCTGCGTCTGCTCGGCGTAGGTATAGGGGGAGATGATCGCGTTGATGGAAGTGGTTTTCGACGGGTGGGAGCTTACAGCTTCCGGGAAGTCCGCGAAGCACTCTGTTGGACGCAATTGCAGGCTCTAGCAGCGGCAGCAGCACCGGCCGTAATGACTACTATAGCCGTTCTCTTGAGTAGCATGAGTCGACCGCATTTGACAGCGGTTGATGGTCATAACGCGCGCCAGCGTGATGGCACGGCCTTTCAACGATTCTCTGACGAAGTCGCCGCATGTTTTAGGGTACAAGTAGCACCTCTTTTACCTAGGGACGCATCCTACCAATGAGTCATTCGTTTAACCTTCAACTACGTCCATTATGAACAGTTCGAGTAGGTCGGAGCTCTCGGTCCACTGTAGTGCGGCGCCTGCTGAAGATCGACGATTTGCTCGAATTGAGGCTCAGCGTGAGTTTACGTGAATGATTTCGCCAGCTACTTATCACAAACAACAATGATAGCAAACAGTAGTCAGGTTCGAAAATGGTCTAGCGTTACGGCAAGTGGCAGTATTTCTACAATGCACAAATTGATACTTTCAATAGGTAAACGCTGTATAGCAGCGACAGCAGTGGCTGTATCAGTAGCTTAAGCGAATCGAAGTCATACGAACGAACGATTTTATGGCAGGTCAATTGAAGGACTGCATCAGCTGAAGGCGTGCGTCAATCTAACGAGCATCTTGTCTTGTCTGACTACTTATGACGGCATTTACGCGTATTAGTGGATTGGTTTCAAACGCGCGTATTTGAAAAATGTACGCCTTGGACGTGCCATTGCAATTCGTAGTTTTGAATAGAAGGCTAAAAGTATTCATAAGCAATATCTGATCCGTACGTACACAACCGATCGTAATACAATCAAAATCAACACTATGTTAAAAAAATTAATTTTTTTAATTCTTATAAATCCACATGACACCATAAGTGTAAGAGAAGTCTATTGAAAAGCTTTATCATTATAAAATACAGTGACTATTAAAAAAATATACTATACTACATAGTATGTATCTACACAACAGAATAAGCTTGCCAATTCAGGTAATCGCATGACTACGGGAGAAACGATCTCTCGTATAAATCGAGCAGATCTTTAGCCTCTTACCGTCAACACCTATTAAACTGTTACCCCAACTATCGTTTGAAAAAAGCTTAGAAGGTTACTAGAGGAACTGGGCTATGATAGCCCTTAAAGCTTTCCGGAGCCATGTAGTCGATGTCACGAGCTGACCGTGGTGTAGTACAGCACATGCACGTACAGTCCACCAAACAACTTTGAGGCAGCGTGAGATGGCGTGGACGCAGCAGCGTCGGTCATCGCGTCGTGGACGCCCCGTTCCGTCTTTCCCCGTGAATTTCGTTCGTGTTTTGTCGGTCCCTGAAATTTATCTGTTAGTTATTATCTGTGGGGTGGGGGGTGACGTCGCTTATCGCGCTAGCCGCACCAGCGGCAGCAACAGGGGCATTATTGAGACGATCGGAAAACCTGAATTCTTCTGAGTTAGCATATTTCTATTACATAATAGACGATGATGCGTATAGTCTAGCGCTCTTGTTCGTAATGCGTGCTGGGGTAGTCGTGACGGTTAGCCTCGCAGGCTAGGCAAGATCGCAGGTTATAGAGGATAATGTCGACTGGTGCCGGAGTGCCGCTATAGTGTTTCACTATTTTCTCTTTTTGGTCTCTTTGGTCGACGTTGGCCGACTGCGATCTCGCTTTGGGTTCAAAGTGTGTGTCAATATTTGCAATTTGGGCGCCCCTCATACCAAATAAAACAATAACACGCAAACATTCAACATTTGTGCGCGCGCACAAATCCAGCAGAAGCATTTGTGTTTATCGACGGCGACAATAATGATGACGACCAATTGATAGGCAGGTACACAACAAAAAATAGGCACCGAGGTTTCTGGCCTGAAGGGTGACGCGATGGCCCTTACATGGCCGTGGTCGAGCTGAGTCGAAAGTTTGATACGTCAAGGTGTTGGACGGATTCACTGGCTCCACCGGTGCTGAGAAAAAACGACTCAGACAGACAAATGGCGGTAAGCTGTCAGGATGGTAAGTAGATAGCAATACGCTGGTAAACGCCGAAGGAAGTGGTGTGTAGATGCGCGCGCGTGTGCCATGCTTGTGGAAATCGCTAGGGAAACCGATATCGAGATGGCGGTAGTGCCCGCCAGCGGTGAGACCGCTGACGACGGGCGATTGCTTGTAGACACGTGAAAATGTGGCTGGCAGCCGAATTTGAGCTACAGGATACAACAAATAAAACTGCTGTAAACGATAGAAGCTATGTGGATTGGCTAGATCTAGAATACACGTCAGAGGCCCCATGAGTAACGTCGATTTGATGAAAAATTGATTAATCAAGAATTTCGTAATATATGCTGTTAACGACCGAAAAACGAACTATCAATAGTTTGTTTGGCCGGGGACAGGAAGGACAAACAGATTAATTATTAGCACTCAAATCGCATTTTCCTTTACTTTTCTTGTCTAAGTTTCGCCCGGCTCTGATCCGAGGGGTGTCGGTCGGAGAGATCACTCGACGATGCGTCAAACATTTAAATATGACCCTGTCAACGCATCGATCAGGCGAGCAAATACTTCACATGCTTGCTCGTTGTTGATCAGTCCCGTTTCTGGCCTCTACTGATCGTTTGTTTGCTGTTATCGATCCTGATTTGACCGTTATTAGCGCAAGCAACGTTCAAGCGCAAGGCAATGTTAGACGCCCATCTCTGAGCACAAAGGAAACTAATAAATTCCCATAAAAATTGTACTGCTCTTGTAAAGACGCGCACAGAGGAAGCAGGTGCCTCTTGTGAGTGAGTTATATTTGACAGGTACGCATGCAGTAGACGCGGCAGGGAAGTCAAGAGCCAAATCAGACACCCGCAGTAACTGGAGGCTTATATGCCCGGTGTTTCCGGAGAAAACGTTCAAATGGTTGGGGCTTAAAATGCGTAATTGGACAAAAGCCCTGGTCAGAATAATGCTGATCGACATTGTACAAGCCATACTATAAAGTCCAACTCGTTACGGTTCACATAATTGAAGATAGTTCTTCACATACGTGTCAATGTCTTCTACTGATTTATGCCAGGTATATAATAAGACAACGGTTTATAACATTTATTTTACCGCAGGAAAAGAGCC